ACATTATTTTATTGTTTGTTAATTTTACAACTTTACCATATTTTGCATGCACTGGAGAACATTTGGTGCAAATTTGATGAAAATCGGACTGATATTGAACGCGCAGTAGCGATTTTCCGCAAAACGCCAAAAAGGGTGTCCTGTAACCTTAATGTGTTTCTTTGTGTAACGACTCGAAAACCCGAAAATTTGGACCAAGCGAATGTATACAACATAGTGGAATACAAACAAGGGCAACTTAAAGGTTTGAAAGTTTGACTTTTTAATAAACGACTATAAATATACGTTGTAGACTCATAAACATCCATTGTGTACTTGTGTTCATTTTTGTGTCATTTTCGGGTCAGTGTGAACGCCTTAGCAGGCGTCCTGTTCATGTTTAAAATTAAACAATGATAAACGTGTTTTTAAACCGTTCAGTAAACAATTTCGTAATGTATATCTTCTTTATACCTTTACGTGATTGGTATAATTTAGCGAAGTGTCTGTTTTAAGAACTTAATTATTTAGTTTATGGTTCGGATCATCTAATATCTGATTAAAAAGTTTAAGACAGTGTGACCCCCTCCCCCCCCCCCAAGAACAAATCATCTGGATTGGCAGGAGCGCAGGGGCCGCAGGGCAAATCATCTGGATTGGCAGGGCAATGAAAGATTTTAAATTATAGAATGTAGAGTTATTAAGTAACTTCCAGGGCTTCCAGAGGGAATTGAATAGAATTTATGGGCCTGAATTTTACAGATATTGGTAAAAAATAAGGGCTTCGTGCATGTTTTATCAGGAATTTTTCCGGAAAAAATTTTTTGACCCTTAATTTAATTGGTTTATGTCCGGAAATTTCGCCCCTTTTTTAAATGTCCGGATAAAATTTTTTTCGACCTCCCCCCACCGCTTGACAGCATTTTCGGAGAAAGAGTGGCCAAAAAAATTTTTGCTGCAGGGCAATTCTAGCAGACACCCCCCTAATTAAAAGGGGCTAGTTTCGCCCCTGAAGACAGGCAGCTTGTCTTCTATTTGTATTATGATTCCATCCCAGCTTCAATCAATGCATCTTCTCGAATCTTCATAATGTAAATTTGGATAAACAATTCGATTGAGCACTCGCTTTTGTACGCGATCAATTTCATCATTCAAGTATTTTGGTATAAAGGAGTAGTGATCAGTATAGTCGAAGACAGTCGAAGCCACGTAGTATGGGTCGAACACAGCACAGACAGTATAAAATTGCAAAATATCTTGCATGGGTCGGGACTTTTGCTCGTTTTAACTGCACTAACAGGTATACTCGTTTGGGACTTTTTGAGACTACGTTATTCACATGACTGAAATAAGTTGATCATGCAGGGACGGATATATAGCCTCATCTGCAACGAGAGGTGCAGGTTTTCAATGGGATGGTGCATGAGGGAGCCTTACTGCCCACTTTCCTCTGGGGCGCCACTATCTCAACATTACTACTATTTGAGATGCTCGTTCGACGTTCTGTTACGTTTTACATTATCTCCCCCACCCCCACAGTAGATCTGCCCCTGAAATTGATACTAAATGAACATTATCATGACTATAGCTTCTCACCATATTTCATTCCAGGTATGAGCAAAATCGACCAACAACAGCAACTGAATGACGATAAAAAGCAATCCTCCAATCAAACCAAAATACATCAATGCTGAAAAGTCCAAACATTTTTTAGTGTTTAATAATAATGCTTGACGTGATAACTTCTTAATTTTAACATAAATTGAATTTTCTTTTTACTGGAAATTCTTACTGTTGGCAAATTTGTCACTTTCCACCCAGAATGACCAGCCACAAAGGATAATGAGGGCAATGAACTTGATACCCCAGAATCTACAGTACAAACAACAAATTAAATCAGATTTCAGAATTAATAATAATAATACACAGAATTTCTATAGCGCCAAATCTACAGTACTCTAAGGCGCTTTACATTCATACCACATTAAAAATATGGACATGCAGAACCTAATTTACTAGCAAAAAAGTTTAAAAAGTTTAAAAATGTGACCTAGACCTAATTTACTTATAAGAAAGTTAAAAAAAATGCGTTTTTAAACGTCTTTTAAAAATGCTTAAACTCGTCTCAAGTCTCAAGCTGTCTGGTAAATTGTTCCATAGTGTTGGGTAAATTGTTCCATAGTGTGATATGTGCTACACCTTGTGTAAGACAAGATTATAGGAAAATCTGACACTGATGTTTTAAGGCGTGTCTACACGATACAAGTAAAGCCAGTATGATTCTTATATATACTTGAATAATATGTGTAAAGATGTCACAAACTGATGAACACGAATAGTGCAGCAGCGGTTGTTTTCATTAGCCAGAATGTCAATGGTATTCGACTAGTTGTATTGTGTTTATGGCCTTTAAATACCAACAAATATATAGCGTCATTTAAAAAACTGAAGTTTGCACTGCACATCACACGAAAAGGACAATGTTAAATATCTTTTTGCATCGTACAGTACAATCTCAAACTCATTAATAATTTATGCATAAATTAGCCAGACATATCACTTTATTTTGCTCACATGATATTACTGGATATCTGGTGGAGTATATTGCTACAGTCTTGGGACAGGATCGAAATTAATTCAATCCTTGGACTGGATCGAAATTAAATCACCTCACTTTGAGTAGTAATATATTCTAATGAGATATCATTTCAAATCTTCCAATTTCGACTGGACTAGATTCCTCGCATTTTGATCCAGTCCTCGCGGCTTCGCCTCGGACTTGAAATATAGTGCAGTCTTCATAGTCGGATTTAAAATATTACATCTCCAGTTCTTTGAATCAATGTATAGTTATCACTTATTTACTGAGACCGAGGGAAACAGTGTGTTAAAGTTTTGTGGACCCCGACTGCCGTTCAACATCTGAAATCTTCAGCCTTTAGCATCTGAAATCTGCAATATCCTGATATCCACAGATACTAAAATTTGATTTTGGATACCAAACTCTGAATGACTTGTATCCTGGCTGGATATTATAAAATCTCAAACATTATATGATAATGCTAAGTGTTTCCGGTGGTCTACCAATAGCTTTGAATGCTATGTCTATGAGTCTGACTTCTTGAAAATAACCATGAGGCTTTGATTTCTAACTTGGTGGTCTAGTTGTTGGCTGTAGAGTCTCCTGTTGTTATTGTAATTTATAACAATGAGAAACGTGTGTGTACTGTATACTTGCTTTGATGGTTCAGGGATGCCAAAATTTATGATAACCAGTATTGTGGGATACTGCAGGATTTTCAGATGGGATACTGGAACTTTAAATCCTGGTATCTCAAGCGGGTATACAGAAAAAATTAAAATTTCAGACCCTGGTTAAATTTCAGAATATTCATTATGATTAGTTTGGTAGGCAGCCTACTGCTGGAAATTAATTCAGGGAACTCCTGATATCCCAGTATACCATGCTGAGCCCTGTTTATGTCATTTACCCATTATTAATCCCAGCTCTGCATTCTTTCTGTGATTTCACTCCAAGAGTAAAAATCATGAGAATCGCATGGAATATCGCAAAACCCAAGAAAATTCGATACACAGACAGGTAGCCCATGACTTTTTCACACTCTCCACCTTCGTCACAATTCTTGTCATAGTATGGAAGCTGGAATAATAAAGTATGAATTACTAATCAACATTTTCAATGTTTGGTCTGTTGGTTTAAATCTTCTGACTTAAATCTTTAACGTGGGGACCATACAGTGGCTAATTCGGCATATGCACGTTCTGTGAACTTCATAATAGCAACTCAATCTGAAAGACATAAAAATATTTCTAGATGGATACACATAAAAAGAGATTTTGTTTGAAACGCCCAAAACAATTTGAAAGTGTGTCTCTTTTAAATTGAGTAGCTGTCATGAACTTCTTACTATAAAAAGACTTCCCCTAAGGATCCCCAACAACAAAATGCTGATATCCATGGCGGGCCGCTCGCGGGCGTGCAACAAATTACAAGAATACAGGAATAAAACAATACAACTAGTTACATACACGCATTACATTTAACATTTCTGACGTAGATTTAAGGATCAGATCGAGCCTTGATCTCGAATAAGCTTTTTAAAGGGACTTAAAGTGTTGGCTTTTTTGCATCAATAGATAACTTATTCCAAAGAAATGCGCCATTATATGAAAAGCTCCTTTTCGGCTTAACTGTCAGTCTTCAGCCTTAATTAGCAACACTAAATCTGTGTCACTATTTCGTTAATGGTATGAAATAGGACAATTACTAAATTTTAGAAACAAGTGATTCAAGTGTCGCGAGGTTATTTAAAGGTGCCCTACAGTCCGATCTGCGCATGTGCACAAAGGAGCCCACTTTTTATGATACAAACAGTTTAACTATGTTTTGGGTTCTTGCAAAGCCTGATTGTTGTTTCTTGATCATTTATTATACTCTAGAAGCTTGAAAATATAAATAGTTGTCGAATAAAGCTCAATATTTTGGACGCAAAAATGTAAACAAAGGCTTTGTTAACATACGGACTGTAGGGCACCTTTAAGATTTTGTATATAACAATTGATTTCAAATAATCTCGCCTTATTTGTAAAGTATCCCAAGCGAATGTTTCGAACATGTCAGCCGTCAACTTAGTGGGGCAGATTGGTGCAAATTATAGAACAATTGTGTGTTTGCTATTGGGGCATCACAGGTTATTTCCTGGCTGCCACAAATTTTGTTTTTCTTACCATTTACCTATTATAAGTATTTCCTTATAAAAAAGTGAAAATTCAAAGTTCACTTTTGGCAAATACCACCTATATGTCACCTTGCAAAAATCTAGCTATATAGGACACTTAAACGGCTGCTACAATTTTCGACACCGACTTTAAGGTACACAAGGTTGAACTTGCTGAAAAAAGGACTTTGTGTCCTTTTTGTGCCATTTGGCAGTTTTTGACCGTTGAACTCGGGATAGGCTTGAAAAACCGTTCTTCATAAGCTTTCTTGCAAGCTTTCTAATGATATAGGCGATATTTGCTAAAAGTGAACTTTGAAATTTTACTTTAGTAGGTAAATGGGAAGAAAAACAAAATTTTGTGGCAACCAGGAGCTAATCTGTAATGGCCCAATAGCAAAAAAATGTTCTTAGGGTATACCCTAACATTATGCCAAGTTGTGTCATGCTCATCAAATGCACAATTTTGTGACCAATTTGCTACACTAACTCTATACCAATCTCCCTGGTAATATTAACAAACCTTGTCTTTTAGGTTTTCTTCCACATTACTAGAAAGCAAAATGGCGGGCACAATCACGCCCAGGATCAGGAAGAATGTATATATGAATCGCGTTGTGACTAAACTGCAACATGATGGACAACAGGCGCAACAACAACTGTCGGCTGTCGAGCCACAGCACCATTCAAGCTGTGATAAATGTTGAAAAACATTATAATTTGTTGTTTCTAAACCTTTCAACGGCGGGAATTACATAATACATATGACCGATTATAGAAAGTGCAGGTGACCAATGGTTAATTCCAGCTATAGACTTAATTTTGATCTAGGCAAGAAAAACGAAATCCATCACCACAGCTAGAAACAGCATCTTAAAATTAGAAACATTGCAAAGTTTGGTTGCGAAATCTTGTAAAATAAGGAAAATATAGGCTATATAGCCCTACGAAACTTTGCAAATTTTGTATTAATTTGTATTAGGCCACATAAAAAAAATTACTTGTTTAGCGTCCACCCATTTTAATTTTTCTAGGTCGGGCGGGCGGGTTTTTTTGTTTTTTTCTTCGTAAAATGCAACACAAAATTCTGCTAAATGCAGGAAATCCAGTATATTACCACAGTCAAAACTCACTTTAATTCTTTCAAAATCCGTTCATGTTTTTTAATCACAGTTCATGTTTTTAATAAAACAGAAAATTACCGTTTGACGGTCACGCGCGAACACTTTAGCTGCGAACAGGCATATTCTGGGAAGGGAACTTTGTGTAAACGAATTACATAGCTCCCAAAAGAATAAAATCACCATTTTTTCAAGTAAAACGGTCTTTTTTATAGAGAGTTTTTGCACTGAACTCGGATGGATTAAAAAAAAAAATAAAAAAATTGGAGGTCGGGGACTTTTATCAGGTCGGGCGGGGACGCTAAACAAGCAATTTTTTTATGTGGCCTTACGCACGGGAAAATGCATCACTCTCGCCCCAAATGTGGTGCATTTTGCGTTGCGCAATACAAATTAATACAAAATTTGCAAATTTCGCAGGGGTATATCTTGCTCATTTTACAACATTTCGCAACCAAACTTAACTTTGCAATTTTACTCATTTTAATCAAAATTTAGTTTATAGCTAGCTGGAAACATCTATTGCACATGCACTTGAGATGAGTACACAGTGCACGCTTTGAATGTGCACATCTTTCCATGCACACTCGAGATCTCCGCAAATGCTGCCACACTTTCTATACTGGGTGTGAATAAATGGAATTGGACAAATTAGTAAATAAGTTCCATATATACTTGGTTTCGTGTGAACATACTCACATAGTCTTAGAGCCTATAGGGCCCGCTTGTTCAAAGCTGCAACCCTTGGTTAAAATTTAATCTGCTGTTTTAGCTTATGTATTTCTGCACATCTGTTTATTTCAAACTTCAGAAAAGAAAACCAGAGGTGTATATAATTATCAGGGGGGGGGGGGGTATTTCCCCCCCCCAAATTTTGGAAGGGTTACTTTCTTTCCCAATCCCGGAGCGGTTCAGACTCCTAACTGTCCTTTCCTTTTTCCTCTATTCCCTCCTTCCTTTCCTTCCCCCCCCTTTTTCTTTCCCTTTCCCTCCTTCTTTCCCTTTTCATCCTTCTTTCCCTTTCCCTCTTTCTTTCCCTTTCCCTCCTTTCTTTCCCTCCTTCCTTTCCCTTTTCCCACTTCTTTCCCTTTTCCTACTTCTTTCCTTTCTTCTTTCCCTTTCCCTTCTTCTTTCTTTTTCCATCCTTCCTTTCCCTTTCCCTTTCCATCCTTTCCCTTCTCCTTCTTTCTCTTTTCCTCCTTCTTTCCTTTCCTTCCTTCCTTTCCCTTTTCCTTCTTTTTCCCCTTTCCCTCCTTCTTTCCTTTTTCCTTCTTCTTTCCCTTCTTCTTTCCCTTTCCCTTCTTCTTTCCCTTTCCCTCCTTCCCGTCCCTTTACTTCCTTCTTTCCCTTTTCCTTCTTTTCCCCTTTCCCCCTTCTTTCCTTTTCCCTCCTTCTTTCCCTTCTTCTTTCCCTCCTTCTTTCCCTACTACTTTTCCTTCTTCTTTCCCTTCTCCTTTCTCTTCTTCCTTCCCCTTTTTCTTTCCCTTTTCCTTCTTTCCCTTTTCCTTCTTCTTTCCCTTCTTCTTTCCCTTCTTCTTTCCCTTCTTCTTTCCCTTCTTCTTTCCCTTCTTCTTTTCCTTCTTCTTCCCCTTTCCCTTCTTTTTTTCCTTTTTCCTGCTACTTTTCCTTTTCCCTACTACTTTCCCTTCTTCTTTCCCTGCTACTTTTCCTTCTTCTTTCCCTTCTTCTTTCCCTTTCCCCTCCTTCTTTCCTTCCTTCTTTCCCTTTTCCTCCTTCTATCCCTTTCCCTCCTTCCTTTCCTTTTCCTTCCTTCCCTCCTTTCTTCCCCTTCCTCTTTAGGGTCATTTTCTTCCCCCACGACCCTGACATCCCCCCCCCCAAAAGGGGGAAACAAATGGCAATTATATACACACACACACCCCTGAAGAAAACTCCTGCTGATTCAGACAAGATCTCTGACGAAATATTTCCAAATTTATAAAAAAGCACTTGGGAAGTTTGCTTTGAACTTTAAGTTAACCAAAGGTTAAACTAACCAAGCATTGAACAACCGGCCCCAGCTATTTAAGTCATAGATTAAATATCAAATGTGTATACCAAATATGTACTTCATAGGGCTTCGTGTCCTCAAATTTCTCTAAACGTACACGGCATGCGGGATTGGTATTTCGGGTGGGGACATATTTCGTGGGGCAGGGCCTATTCTAAGGAAATTTCAATAGTGCATACTTCAGAGCAGGTGTCATCAATGACGTCATCCTGTGACGTCATCTTTGAATTGTTATGTTTTTATATAGAACATAATGACAACATACTGGGTGTCCCCAAAAAAGTAAAACCCTTACAAATTAAAATCAGCCATAACCTATTGTAGTAATTTACTGATGCGACTCAAATGACAACCTCGTTTCCAGGCTCTTTCCTTGTGGAGGAAAGAAGTACACCGGCTTTTCTGGACACGAAAATCAATTGAATATTGGAATTATCACTGGAACTTGGCATTTATTTGGCCAATCTTTGTTTGTTCCTTTGCTCATTGTTTTGCAAAGGTATTTTGGAATTCTCGACTTTATATTTGATCTACTTCGCTCTTTCAGCACTTCTAATACAAAGTTGAAATTTACTTCAAATTTCAATATTGCACACTTTTGCATTCAATACTGCACACTTTTTATTCAATACTGCACAAAGTGTGCAATGCTGCACACTAAAATAGGCTCTGTCGCGGGGGACCTGGGGAAGTTCCAATCGGCAAGTCTGTATTACTGCAGCTACCAGCATATATACTGTATGCATGGTTTGAGTATACGTCACAGAGCAGCAGATCAGGCCCGTAACTAGGATTCTGAGACAACCGAGTCGAGCACCGAAGGTGCGAGCCATCTAGAGGGGTCTGGGGGCTTCCCCCCACGTTTTGAATGGCCATATCTTTGTTAGTTTTCGGCGGATCTAATTCTTACGTACATAGCTAGGGGAAAAATAGATGATAAACAAATAATGAACAAAAATTAAAATAAATAAATGATACTAATTCTCAAGACTTTAGTTTAAATGTCACAGGGGTTGTTGTTTGCATAGCATGTTGATGTAATAGTTCAAATCCGAGTTAGTGTTTTAGACGTGGTTTCTATTTCCAAATACAAGTGCCATGAACAATGGCGAGGCGCAGCCGAGCCATTAGTGAAACGGTTAAAACGGCAATCTTTATTACGTGAAGATGGAGTAACACTCCAAAACGTTGTAAACAATATAAAGTTGTTTTATTTTTAAGCACTCGTGGTCGTTGTTAATTCCAAGAAATAAATAATAATAATAATAAATTACTCTGGAGGCTTTCTTTCAACATGGCGGCCATACCGGAAGTCGGCCGCCAATAGACTTTGTGTTCAGTGCTTTTACCCGTGCTATTATTCATTCTGTGCCTGTGCTTTCACATTCACGGATGTAAACGGTCAGTATAATCTGCAGATCTGCATTATTTTTATACCAAGTCTGCAATTTCAGTCTGCAATTTATACCTATTCAGCATTTTGTACTTGGTCTGCAGTCTGCCGATTGTACGACCGCCGATGTAATACGACGTCATATGCCGAGATTTGAAAGAGAAAAACATGAATTTTCTTCATATACTGCTCGCGCAATGCAAAGACAAAATTAAGATTTAAATAAGATATTGTACTTACAGATCCAACAACACAACCCATAGTTATAGTGTTTTAAAAGTCTACAAACGACAAAAAAACACTTAGGTATCTGACAGTAATTTAGTTACATAAACTGATAAACGCGGAGTTGCATTCATATAATGTCATACGTATTTAATACAAGCATTCGTCAGGTTTTAAAGAATAGCGAAAACTACAGAAATCCATGAAACAAAACTGGAATCGAAGATCTAGCATTGACAAACCTTTTGCTCTCTTTCTGTCGTATTGAAGTATCAAAATACAGCAAGAGTGTTTGGGGAAACCCAGAAACTACCAAACAGGTATTACAGGAACTACAGCCGGAATTATACATGATCTACAGGAATTACAGGAATTTCGGAAACAACATAGCTAAATCATAATCACGCAAATTCTCAGTATACTTTCTGTGCAAATTCTCAGTATACTTTACGTCCAAAATCTCAGTATACTTTACATCCAAAAACTCAGTATATACTCTACGTCCAAAATCTCAGTATACTTTAATCTTTATGTGCAAATTCTCAGTACTTATACTTTATGTGCAAATTCTCAGTATACTTTACGTCCAAAATCTCAGCATATTTTGATCTATTTTATGTGCAAATTCTCAGTGACAGTGTACTTTACGTCCAAAATCTCAGTATACTTTACGCGCAAATTCTCAGTGTAGTTTTACACTTTACGTGCAAATTCTCAGTATACTTTATGAATTAAGTTTATGTCCATGCAAATTTTCAGTAATTGTATACTTTATGTGCAAATTGCAGTATCAGTACACTTAACGTCCAAATTCTCTATACTTTATGAATTATGTGCAAATTCTCAGTATACTTTATGTGCAAATTCTCAGTATACTTAACGTCCAAATTCTCAATATACTTTATGAATTATGTGCAAATTCTCAGTATACTTTATGTGCAAATTCTCAGTATACTTAACGTCCAAATTCTCAGTATAGCTACTTTATGAATTATGTGCAAATTCTCAGTATACTTTATGTGCAAATTCTCAGTATATAGTTTACGTCCAAATTCTCAGTATAATACCGTTTATACTGAGAATTGTGTGCAAATTCTCAATATACTTTGATTTACTTTATGTGCGCCGGAATTCTCACTCCCAGTGTACTTTACGTATAGCCGACAATTTAAAAAAGTAACTAAGACCCCGTTTACACGGTACCGGATGAATTTGAGACCGGTCTGAAATTCGTCCTTTCTCGCCTGTCTACACGCGAATTCGTCTGTGCTCTCAAATTCGTCCGGTTCCGTAGTTCTCGTGTATTTACACGGCCGAATTTCAGACCGATCCCAAATTCGTCTGGTACCGTGTAAACGGGGTCTAAAGTAAAAAACATTACAAATTCCGAAACGACAAGACATCTTGAGAATACATATATATAATTCGACTTTAGTTCAAAGTCATCTTCAGACAGAATGAAATACAATGCTTTACAACACATGTTATATGCACACATACTACATACATACATACATGCATACATACATACATACATATACATATATATATATATATATATATATATATATATATATATATATATATATATATATATATATATATATATATATATATATATATATAAATTAAGGTACAACAATCAACAAAATCCACTAGGCATCTTTATAGTGGATTTTGTTGATTGTTGTACCTTAATTTAAATATGCTCTGGTTTTCCATTGAGCACTTTACCAAAAGTTTTTATAACCAACGAAACCAAATCTATATATATATATATATATATATATATATATATATATATATATATATATATATATATATTATATAATATATATATATATATATATATATATATATATAATTACTATTCTTACTTAAAATGTTTTTTGTCTCTACTCCGAGTTTCACGCATCACTGCGATCATCAGGAGACATTGTTCTCAAAAAAAATAAAATATATATATATATATATATATAATATATATATGTATATATATATATATATATATATATATATATATATATATATATATATATATATATATATATATATATATATATATATATATATATATATATATATATAAAATGGATGACTCTTCGATTTCGAAGATGTCCTTTTTCGTCGGAGGTTGGGTCACTCTCCCATGAGCTACCAAACCCGCTCGGGTCGCACAGGGCCGTTGACACACATCACACGTGAATCCTGTTGCATCAGCTTGATCAGGCCATTTACGCCGGAGTCGGGCTTGTCGTATTCTCTCTGTCCGGCCTGCTTCAAATGATTGAACACCAGTATGGATTGCAGTTCATATATATATATATATATATATATAGCATCTTTTGTTATGTGGGCGGAAGGAAGGATTATTCAAGCGAAGTGAAACATGAATGATAAAGAAATGAGTAAAAACTGAAACTGGATTGTTGTAAATATAGCTAAATAATATACATCTAATTTCAGTTTTCTCATTTCTTTATCATGTTTCACTTCGCTTGGATAATCCTTCTTTCCGCCCACATGACAGATGCTCTCTAGTATTGTATTTCATTCTGTCTGAAGATGACTTTGATCAAGTTTGAAATAAAGTCGAAAATTTACAATCTCAACTCTGACCTGCATCTTGTTTTGAATCATATATTGTATTCTCAAGATGTCTTGTCGTTTCGGAATTTGTTTTTGTATCTGCGAATGCAGATCAGTGATGCAGACATATTGCTATCGTGCGCGTACCGGAAGTTTGTAAGCGTGCTTCTAGCCAATCAGCGACAGCGTACAGATGAAATGACGTAATGATAATAATTTCAAAATGGCGGTTTACGGAAGGGTGAAACAAAAACAAATTTGTGAATTTACAATTAAAATTAAACATCAAACGCAGTACGTCAAAACAACGTCGTTTTACTAGTCTGAATATGGCAAAGGCCGGTCGAGAGTATATTTTTGCCAAGCATTTGAAGGGTTTCATCATTTAATACGCAGTGCAAACGAAATGATTCGCAATTTTAGACAAAAAAAATGATTGACTAATGAGTAATGGCATTGAGATATTATTATAAAACTATGAAAGTAATGATTCTTCCACATGTTACCATTGTAGGTGTATATCGAGTGTAAGTGTTGATGTTTATGTACTTCTCAATTTTACATTTTCATTGGTGACTTTAATTAATATAAATTAGTCGAATGAAACCAATAGAAGGCCTTTATATAATTTCTCTATCAATGATCATAACTATGGACAATTGTTGTCTGCTTTCATTACAGACAACCAGACTTTGACAGATCATTTTTATATAAATTTAGCACAGTCACACCAAGTCGCACATATTGGAAACATTTCTCTGATCACAAAGCACTATGTTCATTAATTGCTTTCATAAAATCCAGCTTCAGATTGGAATATCAATACTTATAGTAACAGTGCAACCAGTCATAATGATCAACTTGCAGTATATAACTATATATACTGCCAAGAACACCAGGCAAGCAATTTATATCCCCTATCCCATACTATATTGTCTTACAATCAACAACAACCATATGTCATAATGGGATCTTATTTATAGCACACAATGTACAAAACTAAGCCTTCTATTCTGTTCATTTGACTTTTCTTCCACGACAAAATATTATTGCATGGATCTGGTTTGCTAAATTACATCATTCTATTCAAGAACTATATGCATCGCGTTCCCAAAACGGAATCGTCGCGAATTCGGAAACAATCTGCGTCAGGGTTTGCAGATAATCAGTAATAATAAGTAAATAATCAGTTTGGCCAACCTACCTCGTACGCAGGGCTTTTTGCTTTCGTGGTTGGATGGTCAGTGAAAAAGGCTCTGGCTTCGACTGGTCTGTTTTGAAGCCTGATTGGTCAATTCTTTTCAATGTGAATATTTAATATATGTGGGAATAATTATTATATTTTGGCAGAACAAGAGTGCAATGACAAATTTAGTTCTTGACGGACTAAAGTATTGAGTGAATAAGATTTTTAACTAATACGACTCTACCCACATCTGCATGGGCTGCCTGTGTCCAGAATGACCACAATTTGTGATTCTTTGTGATTCTCGCAAATACATAATTCGCGTAGAAGACTGGATCGAGTGGACTCTGGGACAACCATCAAACGTCCAGAAAGGTGTGCTGCCTCGCTTCGCTCGGCAGCAAATATATCGCTTTAATTTTATAGCATCCATCACATAATTGTATTTAAATTGTCAATTTGTCATTTGACTACTATTTTGTATTTCTCAACCGCCAGATACATTTAAAAAGGTTGCGAACTGTGTAAATTACAAAATAAGGCGAAAACAAAGTAATTTTGGGACGCCAAAAATATTTTAACTTTTGAACATACAAGAACTGGTATACTTGGCATTCTTCACCGTTCCAGCTAAAACTTATACTTGCATATACTTTCTACAAATTTAAACAGTTATTACAATATTGCCATTATTGGGACAAAATGCCCAAAAACAATTAATGTCAATGGTATATATAAACTATAATTTAAACTACTTATTCATACACATACTCTATATTATGTGGCATATTAAAGGAACCGATACAAACTATGTACTAATATTAATTAAAGCATCAAGTCGAAAGGGTTCTAACTCTGAGCCTTAACAAAAGATGTGGAGAAATCACGGTTCGGCATACAAATAGGAGCAATCAGGGTCCAGAGGTACACTACAACACAAACCCAGCCTGTGACAATCTTCACCCAAAATGCTCCCCATGTTCCCTGCACGTTCTCTGTGTCCGAATGGTCAGGCCTATAGAAAACAAACAACAATCAGCTCCTTTGTGGTATGAGTGAAACGTTGTAGATTTACTGAGCGATTAGGAAGACGGTCTAGAACTGACAGAGCTAGCTATCCAGTACAAATAAAGTTACTTTTAGTTCAGGTTTCCTCCTTTGGAAACACTGGATCAATATGTGGCGACTTTTACTAGACCTCTAGGAAGAACAGTTTGGAACTGATAGAGCTATCCAGGACAAAAAAAGTTAGTTTAGATTT